GGATGCATACTACCAGACTTGCTTCGGATGCTGAATCTGACCTACATTTTCTAGATGAGTGAACAGGTTAAATTTTTTGGTGCAGGTTTCATTTCTAAAGTACAATGAGCCCTATACTAAACTTGCATGGATGATACATCTTAGGATGCATACTACCAGACTTGCTTCGGATGCTGAATCTGACCTACATTTTCTGGATGAGTGAACAGGTTAAAGTTTTTGATGCAAGATTCATTTGCAAGTATAACTATGAGCTCTTTAATGACCAAACTTGCATGAATGATACATCTAAGGTTGCATTCTACCAGGCTGGCTTCGGATGCTGAATCTGACCTACATTTTTTTCTGGATGAGTGAAGAGGTTAAATTTTTATGCAGGTTTCATTTCTAAGTAACTATAAGCCCAATGTTGTACAAACTCGCATGGATGATACATCTTAGGATGCATACTAATGGACTTGCTCCGGATGCTGAATTCGACATACTTTTTCCAGATAATGGACCAGGTAAAAGTTATGGGTGCAGGTCTATTACCAAGAAACTATAAGGCTTATATAAACCAAACTTGCCCAAATGATGCATCAAGGGATGAAAACTCTCAAACTTGCTTCAGATGCTGGATTTTAATCACATTTTCATGATGAAGAACTAGTTTGAAGTTTTTATATAGGTCTATTTCAAAGTATGAGATCAAAATTGCATAAATTTCGCATTTTTGGATGTACACTTTTTGTTGGGTAATTGTGTGACTTTGCCTTAATTAAAGACAACATTCGTTGAGGTGAGCTCTGTAATCTCTGATTACCTATGTTTTTCATTTTAAATCAATAGTATCTGTTAAATTAAAATAATTCCTGTATCTCGAGATCTTTTTGAGTTCTTGGGTCCAAAGGTCAAGATGAAAGAAAACTCATATCTTGCATGAAATGGTTTCCTGGTAATATCTCGAGTTCTCTTAAAAATGTCTTTCAATGAAATTTTGTATCTTTAGTCAATATCTTGAATATGACATAAAAAGACTCCAACTGAAAAGCTTAAACATGAATACCAAGGTCAGAAATTTGTTTATTGCAAACATAGTTTTCAGACTTTCTTCAAACTTTTGCAAAAAATTAATAAATTTCATTAATCTGAAAAAGGGATACTTATTAGTTTTCATTTTCAAGCCAACAGCTGAAATCTCTCAATCTGCACTCTGTTCAGTTATTCCTCCACTTTTTTTCTTTTGAGGGATTAGACAGAATGCTTCTTTTTTTATGATCTTAGGATATGTACACAAGACTGTATACATACATGTAAAACTTATGGCTAAAGAACAGTAAGGGATCTTTCGTGCCAGGACATAATGTGAAACGGGACCTTGGTATATTATTATCTAAAGGATCGGTCTCCACGTCCCACCGTGGGATTCGAACCCACTGCATAAGGATATCATTATTCCAGACCCAAATGCTGTTTGTGTATTTCTACTTTTTATTTTTTTTTTTTTTTTTAGAAAACAACAGATGTTTTCATAGATTTTAAGTATTTTAGGTCATAGATTAGCTGAATCAGTTTTTAGTCAATTGTTATAAAGAATTCATCAAAATAAAAGGCGAATTTAAGAGAAAAATCAATATACATGAAAAATAAAAGTGAAAAAACAAAAAAGACATGCGATTATTAATGCTGAAAAAATATTGAAACAAAACGTTTCATTACAAATTTATTGAACTTTGGAGAATATAACCGTTTTCAGTGAAATAACTGATATAAGATCGCATTTGTTGTTGACTTTAATTCCCCAATGTTTACCAAGCTTATGAGGCATGCATAAAAAAGTTGTCGAAAATGTTTTGATAATGAAAAATTAATATTTTAAATTTTGATATGTTCAAAATTTCCCCGAATATATATGTCAATAATTGTTCATGAAAATGAACACTAGTGCACTACATTTTGTAAAACAATATTGAACAAGAGGTATTGTGAGCACTGAGCTTACAAAGTGACACCCCCGTCTCTCATATGATTGTAATGGCAAAGTCCATGTTTTGCTCTGGGAGACCCGAAATAAGTAAAAGATCAAAAAGTAAAGTAAAAGGAGTACAACGGCATTATGTAATAAAGAATCTGTGAAAGTATCGTTAAATTTTATTCATAAATTCGAAATACTACAATTATGTGTTACATCAAAAAGTAAAATAGTATGTACACAATGGCACTATATAACAAAGACTCTGTGAACGTCTCATTAAATTTAGTTCAGAGGTATTTGAGAAGTTGCGGATCAGAGATTGGTACCCCAAAACGTAAAGGATAGCTAGACAAACGGACGGACGGACTTACAGCTAGCCGGACAACCCGATCACTATATTCCCGCCCACTTTTCAAGCGAGTATCATTTAGTGAGCTTATTGCTCATAGTACCTCTAGTATTTAAATCATGATAGGTAACAAACCTATCATAATATCAATATTAACATCATATCAGATTATCAAAAGTCAATATCATTCTAACTTTTTTATAACCCTCCCCGCTTGAAAAGTGGGAGTGTATATAGTGCATGATCGGGATGTCCGTCCGTCCGTCTAGCTGTCTGTACGTCCGTTCGTCTGTTACGCTTTGGGGTACCCATCTCTTATCCACAATTCCGCCTAAACTTACTTACCTATGCCTGCTACCCCTTTTGGGGCAGGGCTTAGGCCGCTGACAAGATTCCTTCAGGCCCTCTATCCTGTACAATGCTTTCTATTTCTTTCCATTTCTTCCCCAATCTGTTGATGTCTGCCTCCAAATCTCTCCACCAGGTGTTTTTTGACCTCCCTCTCTTCCGTTTGCCTTGGGGGTTCCAGGACAGGGCTTGACTTCTGATGTTATTGTGGACCTTGCGTAGAGTATGCCCTATCTTCCTCCACCTTCTCTGCATGATTTTCTCTTCTATAGGGGCTAAGTTTGTCCTTGCCACAAATCAGTGTTTCTGATTTTGTCGAGCCATCTTATCTAGGGGATGCGTCTCATGCAGACAAGAGTTGATGAATGTCTGGTTCCTTTGTTGTTGTGACAGTCATCCTCCATGTCTCAGAACCATCTTATGATCCAAGTTCCTATGTTGATGTTTCTGGGTCCGAGAAGGGTTTAAGGCCTTGTAGTTTCTGTCTCTGGCTTTCACCACAGGGCGCCCTTCATTTTCCTTTTAGAGAACCTTCCAGAATTTGAGGTCTTCATTAAATTTTGCTTGCATTTCTGTAGCGCTTGTTGTTTTACATGCATGGCAGGGTTGCTAACCCCACACAAAACCCCCTGGACCAGGAGGACCGGTGGTTTTCTGTTTGGATTTTCTGTAAAATTCAGGTGACTGTGGCAGAACCTATTTGATTGTTGATTGATTGTATATTGTTTAACGTCCCTCTTGAGAATTTTTCACTCATATGGAGAACGTCACCGATGCCGGTGAAGGGCTTCAAATTTAGACCTATACTCGGCACTCAGGGCCATTGAGCAGTGAGGGTTCTTTATCGTGCCAACGCCTACCGTGACACGGGACCTACATTTTTAAGGTCATATCCGAAAGACCCGTGACTTTCACTTCTAGTGCCGAGCGCTTGGCGAAGAAACAGTCACTACCTTTGTTTACGTCTTAGGTATGACACGGCGCCGCGAACGAGAATCGAACCCGGGCCTCCCGATCACGAAGCCAACGCTCTACCACTAGGCTACCGTGACCGGTATAACCTATTTGAGACCATAGGCATAAACTCGAAGATTTGATAGTGTAACTTCGTAACATCAGTTAAACCCCTCGAGACCTTCACCAGCCTTTGACCCCCCCCCCCCCCTATACTAATGAATGAAATTGAATTAGACTTTCACAGAATCTGTGTTACATGGTGCCACTGTGCACTTACTATTTTATTTTTTGATCAGACACATATCTTGAGTTTCCCAGAGCAAAACATGGACACGGCCATTCCCCAGATAGCAAGCTTACGTTGGCCCAATGTTGGGCCAACGTTGTAAGTTACGTTGGTCCAATGTCGGAAAATGATGTTGGGCCAATGTAATTTTGCTCATCGGCGCAACGTTGCGCCGACATGTTGGCGCAACGTTGGCCCAATGTCATAGAACGATAATTCTGACGTTGGTCCAACGTTGGGCCACTGTTGTCAGTTATGTTGGCCCAATGTCGGAAAATTTATATTGGGCCAATGTAATTTTGCTCATCGGCGCAACGTTGTGCCGACATGTTGGCGCAACGTTGGCCCAATGTCATAGAACGATAATTCTGACGTTGGTCCAACGTTGGGCCACTGTTGTCAGTTATGTTGGCCCAATGTCGGAAAATTTATATTGGGCCATTGTAATTTTGCTCATCGACGCAACATTGCACCGACATGTTGGCGCTACGTTGGCCCAATGTCATACAAAATTTACAATTCTGATGTTGGCCCAATGTTGTCCCAACATATTTTTGTACAAGGATATTAAGAAATCTATGGAATTCCATGGAAATATAAAAATCCCAGGAATATACAATGAAAACTGAAATAATGATAACATCACAATTTATCATAGATCAAATCTATATTTCAAAATTAAAAATTCGTTTCTTTTACAATGTGTTTTGAAACAAATATATAATATTACATATACACTTATAGATGTACAATGTAAGCACATTTTTTCAAAGTATTCTCACTGATCGACATTCTTTGTAATAAAACAAACTATTTCTTTTTTTAAAAAATATGGCATTTGACTTAATGACATTGGGAGAGGTCAATTGCAGAACTTACAAAGAACTTCCAGTTGCCCATGTACATTTACCGTACAAAGAAAGTTAATGAATAGACTAGAGTGAAAAACACATGTTTTAAGTACTAGAGTGAAAAACACATGTATTAATTACAAAATCTCTAATACACAACTACATTAATAAAAAAGATCCCATAAAATCAACACATGCTATTTTCACCAAATATGCCAAAGATCCAAATTAAGTTAGATTCCAAATTTCTCGTCAAGTATCTGCTTGAATCACTTCCTCACTGATATCCCATGAAATTCACAATAATAAACAAATAAAATATGCCGTTATGTTAGAGGGTAGCCAAATAAATGGTCATGTCAGTCACGAACGGATTCACTTTAAGTAGGAAGGTTCAGAAAGTTCAATATTGATCATTTCCATAGTCACTTCAAACTTTGCAGGCACAATTTCTGAAAGAAAAGATGACCATTAGGATGTATTATAATCAATATCTATCGAATATATAAACAAAAATATATATATGACAAATAATAAAGTAAGGCTCTACAAGACTGTAAAGACAATTGGTTATTTCAACCTGACAGTTCAGTATAGTGTAAAATAGAAATTCACTATCTTGCATTGTTTTTATTTAGGCAAAATTAGGCAAGGGGTCTGCGGGCCGCCTAGTGGGGCCCAGGGGGCGAAGCCCCCGGAAGCTCCTGGATTCTAGAGATTTTGTAGGGTAAAAATGAGGTCTACCAATTAGACGTATTTACATTTTCTAGACGAAACGCTAACTCTGACAATTTTAGTGGGGGCGCCCCCCTTAAATCCGCCACTGTTTAGATTACCTGTCAGAATCCATTGTTATGTATTTTTAGGATAAAAAAATTAAAAATTAAGAATATAAACCTCTTCAGGCTCTTGTTTACTTTAGTGGATGCAATATTTTTTATAGTTTTATGCTAAAAGATACAAGTTAATAAAAACAATGTTAGGTTATTTGTGTTACTTTAAAATAAAAAAAAATTGAGCTGGTTCTCACCATTTTTACAAGCTGACAACTCGCCGGCGCTTAGGGAATCGTCTCGGGCACAGTCCACTGCATGCAACTATTAAATAATCAAAATAAGTGCTAAAAATTATCTTGAACATGCATTAAAAAATAAATATCATTTTATTACAATTTACATCATACTCTGTAAATGATGAAGAGAGGAACACTAAAATTCCTGAATCGATCCCAAACGAGGAAATTCGGGTTGAAATCCATCTTTATGAGAGATGTTTAGAACTGAAGTGTTAAATTATTATAACAAAATTGAAATGGCACTTGCTCAAATGATTTCACTGCAATGCGTTTTATGTGTAGTGTCCTGACTATGGAACAGTCGCAAAAGCAATTATTCATTCAAGGACAAATTATGTTAAAATATTTTGTACATTGTACCTACCGCAGTACCGGGTCGTAAAATGTCTTCATCTTCTGTCAAAACAGAAATTCCATCCAAAACTAGTCATGATTCTCCTTTTCGCGACACTCTCTTCCGAACTTTCCTTCTGTACAACATCAACATGGCTGCGTGTAACCCACCAAAAATTTAAATTTCGGCGCGGTGTGTTGTTTAAATTAATTGCTTATCGAGCCCGACTTCGATCCCGACGTAATTGTACTATTAGTCGACAGTTTTAGAGAAAAATCTAAGTTATATTCCATAGTTTTGAAAATCTACGTAAGGGTTAAATAACTAGAAATGAATAAATAAACAAAGAATTAAAAAAAAATAAATTAAATAAATATTTTTTTAAACGTTTCAACATAAGTTTACATAGCAGCATTGGTTCAACAATGTCGGCCCAACATTACAAAGATGTCCATACTTCAGCAATAAAAATAACAATGTTCAGGCACGTAGCAACAGGGGGGGGGGGGGCTGGGCCTATAGTGAAATCAAGGAAAAATAGCAAAAAAAAATTGGAAGTGAAAGGAAGTTGGCCTTGAAAAAAGTTGCCCACCACCACCCCTATCCTTTTGCTTGTCAACTTTTTCAGGTAAGTAAAAAAAATTCTATGCCCCCCCCCCCACTTTTGAGAACGATGCTACGTGCCTGATGTTGGCCTGACGTTGGAACAATGTCAGTGCACCAACTGTTGTAATTACAATGTCGGACCGATGTTGGTACAATGTCAATGCACCAACTGTTGTAATTACAATGTCGGACCGATGTTGGAACAATGTCATTACACCGACTGTTGTAATGACAATGTCGGACCGATGTTGGCCCAATATCGTTCTGCCAACCGCGATATGTAGCCGATCTACCAACCACATGCCAACATCGGCCCAACGTCAGCTTGCTATCTGGGTCTTTCTATAATATCGAAGGGTACCCATCTCTTATCAACAACTCCTCTTATGCCACTGAATAAAATTTATTGAAACTTTCACAGATTCTTTATAACCTACTGTTATTGTGGCCTCTTATTTTACTTTTTCATGTGACACCCATTTCGGGTATCCCAACGCAAAACATGAACGTTGACATTATAATCATATGGGAGGCGGGGGATATCAATTAGTGAACTCAGTGCTCATAGTACCTCTAGTCTTTCTCCTTAACTTCTCTTAAGTATTTTTCAGTCATGGTTGGAATGCCTTTTAGAGACTTTTTTTCCACAAAAGACGCAATATTGGGTTTGTCACATGAAGCACAATGAAAATATTGAATAAATTAATCTGTGAACCGTTGATATAATGGTCAACATAAGATCTTTTCCAATGAAATGTCCTTCAGATGAGACCGCATAAGATATATGATATATTATATATAACAGTTTTGACTGTTGTTGAAAACATAATTATAAAACTTCTGAAGTTCATGATTATTGCTGAGTTTACAAAGCATCTCAGTTCTACTTTTTTAGACCGATGTGAAAAAAATAGACTTTTATCTGTCAATTACACAATTAAATCCGTAAAAGTTCAGATTAATCTGTAAAAAGTACAGCTAAATCCGTAAAATTTTAACTTGAATTTTTGACAAAGAAGTAGCGTTAAAAGCATGGCATAAATTTGATTTTTAAAATACTTTCCCTCAAAATACAAGTTAAAGAGTCACACAGTATTCATCAGCCAATATAATAACTTTATTCCTTGAAAGTACTGCAAGCATTCTCCATCATCGTACTCTCTTGTACGACACTTATCTAGATCTGAGGTGGCTAAGAAAGCTACAATCAACATCATTGTGTATTTCGATGATACAAACTTTTGTCAAAAATTTTGAAAATAACAACTTGGGTCATGTTTTAATGAATAAAATGAATAGGTTTCACCGCGTAGTTTTTAATTTTTTATTCAAAGTTGCACAAAAAGGGACTTTGAAGAGAAAAAAAAATTATTTTTATAGAATGATAAGGATGGTTTCAGAAGGGTACAATTTTGAACGTCAAAGAAGGTTTACAATTTCTTTATATTCTAGAAATTTATTATTTGCATCATTTGAAATGAAATTAGGTCAAAAAATATGTACCAATCCAGGCATCCATTTTTATTATGCGCCCGGATCAATAGATCCGGGACGTATATTGTTTTTGTCCTGTCTGCTTGTTTGTTTGTCTGCAAACTTTAACCTTCGCAATAACTTTTGAACCATGAAAGTTAGAGACTTCATACTTAATATGCATACTCCACTAATGAAGCTCTTTTAAATGACACCAAAGTCAATGACCTTGTGAGCTTGACTGTGACCTATATGCCAAAAATAGTTTTTTTTCTGCAAACTTTAACCTTCACCATAACTTTTGAACCATGAAAGATATAAACTTCATATTTGGTGTGCATACTCCACTAATCAAGTTCTTTCAAATGATACCAAGGTCAACGACCTTGTGACCTTGACTATCACCTATGTACTATAAATAGCTTTTTCGAATTTTGTTGCCGTCGGGCGCATAGTGTTTCAGAAACACATCTTGTTTATTTGTATCATCTGTCCTTAAAGGCCGAGATTTTAACCGTACGGTTTTCTCAGGTAAGGGGAGGGACTAAATTTTACATGCGTGGCACCCCGAAGCATTGACGGTTTTGCAGACCGTGGGAAGCGCTAAATCCCTATACACAAACAATATACACAGGAAGTCCATGGGTATTACCTGTACAGCTTGATGGCCTACTGTTCATCATAAAATTAGTAAAATTCGACATCGACGGAAATAAAAAATATCAATAGTAATTAATGATAATTGTAAAATTTCGTAATTTTAGACTTATATCTAATATAAAAAAAAGAAGAAATCTCGCAGGTCGACTTTTGTAAAAATCTACTGTATGTTATATGTCACATGTGCAACAGCAACGACTTGAGTTCGTTGTAAAAAAAAAATCATTATGAAATACAGGTATAATTTCAAAAGTAAAATATTCATCCTTGTCTGTTCCTTTCAAAATCTTAAAAACTATTCATAATTATCTAAATATAGCAACAATTAGAGCTTCGATCACGGTCAAATAGTAACAGTTACTTGTCGTTTGTATAAAAAGTCGCGTGGTCCTATTTTTAGCAAATGTACATTCTGTATCCTATTGTGAAAAATTCGCGATAACGATGGTTTTGAAAAGTAAAAGTTACATATAAGAATGTGTGTAATTTTAGATTATAATTAAACAACTTAAAACAAAATATTAAATTATTGCTAACATATGTATTTCTTTCAAAACTAGTTTTAACACCTGTGATCTTGAACGGAGGTAACAATACAACCCACGAAGCAAGAAATGCTCGGTTATAAAAAGGAAGAGAAAAGAAAGAAACTCGCAATACTTTAAAACTTGTCCAGGCGAAGTTGTTACTTACTATACATTACATGCAAAAAGTGTTACCAGCTTATTTTATTTTTTTTTTTTCATCGTAATTTTTCACCGCGTCTCAAAACAAGAATCATTCTAATTTTTTACGAGTGAAAGATTTCATTCACCTATGCAAATTTCATCAGTAAAAAATATTCACAATCTTGATTTATTTTATTGAAATACTATGAGATAAAAATTCATTTTTAATGACATGTTTGTTATACAGACATTTAATAATTATAATCAGGCTGAAATTGTTTGCTTCGAAATGGCTTCCTTATTGCGATGGTAATTTAGCGGTAAACATCAGAAGACCGAAAGTTAATTTGATGGTGGCCACGCGTGTCAAAGTAGGTGAAAGAGATATACAGAGGGACTAGTAGCTAAATGTCAATCAATTTCAAGTACCCAGTGATGAACCTTAATTTATTTGATTGACAGGGGGATACAGACCAGGTAAATCCGAGGGCAGTGCTTATTATCTCGGGCTTTAAAAATTCGTCCCTCATTCAACAATTACTAAGTATACAAATTTAATTCACTGAATATTTTTGTCTATTCAGCAATATTGTTTTACATTTTTATAAAAGTTTAATAAAAAAAAAATATATTATTCAAAATGCATGTACAAATATTCAGTTTAAACATGGAGTACAATATTTTTTTTTTTGGTAAAATTCTTTTTACTTGTGTATAAAAGTATATAATCAAAATCACCAAATTTGACATCGTGACATTTACCTTAGAGTATGACACACTTTTACCAAAAATTTCTGAACTTTGGCCATCTCCATAACTTTTGAATAGTTGGTGCGAGGGCTTTCATACTTCATATGTGTATTAATTGCGACAAGGCCTTTAATTGGGTGTAAAAATATTTGACCTTGACCTTACAGTCTGGCCCACTTTCAACAAACTTTAATATTGACCATAACTTTTGAACCGTTAGTACTAGGGCTTTGATCTTTGATCAGGATTTTCAAAAAAAAATTCTTAGTGATTGAAAAAAAAGTTTATATCTTCGGTCATTAAAATTAACCAAACCTACTCTTGCCAATCATTTATTGGATTGCATTCTATTCAGATCGAAACATCGATAACCCACTAGGATTTCTCTGTTAAAAAAATCAACAAACTAAATACACTGAAGTCAATATGTCGAAAGTTTTTGCTGATAAATAAACTGATATTAAAATTAAGATAAATGATAAATGAAGGCCATTGGATAACGAATTGAGTAAAAATATGATAAATACGAGACAGAGGTACTGCACTTAACCATTAACGTTACTGAAGCTGGATATGGAAGTGAATATGTGATTTTAAAAATATGGCGTTTTATTGCATTTGGAATATTCTACTATTATTGAGGTTGCTTTCAATTCCACAATATGAAGGTAATTTTAGGTCATTGGAACGTTGATTCTTTTATAAATTCCAAAGTCTCTAAAGAGATGAAAAGTAATGCTTCTTGCAGAAAGATATTCTGGGCACAAAAGGGGAACTCAGGAAAAGTTCCTTTTTCAGGTCGTTGAAATGGAGTATTAATTCCATGATGAGAAATTAAATAAAATTATTTTACATGAAAACATATTCTTGAAATTATGATCTAGAATAACAAATAATAAATAAGATATTCAACTTTCTTTTTTTTTCTTTCTTTCTTTTTTTTTTCTTTTTTTTTTATTTTTCGGATATTCTTTTTAAAAAAAATGTTAATTATACTTTCCGGCATTTTTAAGTAAGTGTTTTTATTTGATTGAAATAGAGAAATAAACGTGCAAGAACGTATTCAACATTTCATTTATTGTATTTCAGCATTTGCCAATTCCAGTAATGATGTGAAAACTTTGGAAAATACCACCCAAGGTCAGTGTTTTGGACATTTTGAAATTTTGTACAAATTTTCAAATCCTTTTGGTATTTTCTTTCTGATAGACATTAACAAAAGCCTTCCCCTCTCCTAAACATTTTGTCGATAAGCTTGTATATCTATATCTACAATGAGGATGAACTTACGTATAATCTCTCATCATAATACTGTAAAATCCCTGTACCCCAACAACAGGGTTCAGATGTATACTGTCTTTCATCATTACTCTTTCTCCCTTACTTTGTTTGTCCAATTATCAACTGATCATACTGTTGTGAGGTGTGAATTGTTTCATCATGTATATTATTAGTAACATTAAGTTTCTTGAACATTCCAGAGTGGTCAATATGTTTAGTCATTTTTTCTAGAACATTCTTGAACTTTATTCATGTCCAGAACTTTCCAGTAATATCATGTTTTAACATTTTCTAGAATATTCTAGATTTATAATACTGTATAAATACCCTGTCAATTCAATGCATATATATAATTGTGGATACTTTGTCGTATAAGCACTATTGAGATATAACTGGGATATATTTTCACTGGGACATTGTGTGCAGCAACGGACACTCTGATGTATGTATTTTTAGATTCTTGCTAAGTTTGTACTTTATGTTTCATATACTTATGATATATTACTGTAAATAAATTATTGTTAAGTTTAAATTGTGTTATTGATCTTTGCTGGCATTTCGGGTAATTCTGACCCATAACAGAATTGGGGGCTCGTCCGGGATAAAGAATTTCTTGCACTTTTGCAGTTTATTGTCAGAATTTTGTTTATTGAACCGTTAAATTTGACTATAAGCCAGCAAAAATCAACATGGTATTTTCGGTCACAGACTTTCTTAGTTCACCAAGTGTTCAGGTTTTTGATACGTTAAAAAAGGATGACTTGATCGCATTAGGTTTGCATTTTGGGTTAGATGTTAAATCCTCTCAGAGAAAGCAAGACATTAAAATTAAGGTTGCAAACAAACTAGTAGAAGAAAACATCTTTGAAAAATATGATCTTCCAGAATATACAGTTAAATCAGAATTAGGCTCTTACAAAATGGCAGAATATCAGTTTCAATTAGAGTTAGAGAAAATGCGATTAGAAAGAGAAAAATTAGAAAGAGAAGAGCGAGAAAGAGAAAGAGAAGAACGAGAGCGTGAACGAAAATTTGAATTAGACAAATTAGAAAGAGAAGAACGAGAGCGTGAACGAAAATTTGAATTAGACAAATTAGAAAGACAAGAGCACTTTGAGTTAGAGAAATTAAGATTACAGCACCAACCAGAACCGTCATTTGTCAAGAATGAATTTGACGCAGCAAAAAATATTAGGTTAGTTCCGAAATTTCAAGAAAAATCTGTAGACAAATATTTTCCCCAATTCGAAAAAGTCGCAGAGAATCTTAAATGGCCACAACACGTTTGGTCAACAATGTTACAAAGTGTACTGGTTGGCAAAGCAGCTGAGGTATACTCTGCACTAGGGGTAGCTGAAAGTTCAGACTATGAGAAGGTCAAAGCAGCAATATTAAAAGCCTATGAATTAGTACCTGAAGCGTATAGACAAAAGTTCAGAAAGTATAGGAAGTTTGATAATCAAACATTTGTTGAATTTTCACGAGAGAAAGAAGATTTATTCGATCATTGGTTTAGATCTAAGAATCTTGATAAAACTTTTGCTAATTTGCGCCAAGTCATCCTGGTAGAAGAGTTTAAGGAATGTGTTCCTCAAGATTTGAAAACACATTTAGAAGATAAGAATGTGAAAACTCTTGAAGAGGCAGCAGTCATATCTGATACTTATGCTCTGTCTCATAAAAAGAATTTTGTTTCAAGATCTCAGACTAGCAGTAATTCTACCAATTCAGACACATATAAAAAGAGTGGTTCAGGGTCTCAGTCTTTCACAAGTTCCCAGTCTCCATCCCAAGGTGGTTTTAAGTCCGGTCCAGGACGTGTTGAAGGATCGTCTGGAATAGGGTCGCTTCCTACTTGTAGCTATTGTAAGAAAAAGGGTCATCTGATCAGTGAATGCTTTAAACTTAAGAGAAAAAATGATTTTGATAAAACTCAACCACATGCTTGTGCGGCAGTTAGAGGTGATAGAGAAACCTTAGTTTCGATTTGTTCTGACACTCCTGATGTCCAGGGTTCACAGTCCAGTTCTATTGATTCTATGGAGGATTATAAGCCCTTTATGTCTCAGGGATTTGTTTCACTCGGTGACTCTAGCGAAATAAAACCTGTACAGATTTTGAGAGATACTGGTGCTGCACAGACGTTATTGTTAGAGGGCGTGCTTCCTTTGTCTGAGCAGACTTCTACTGGTGGGTCAGTTTTATTACAGGGTGTGGAGCTAGGCGTCATTGATGTTCCCCTGCATAGAATTAGTTTGAAGTCAGATTTAGTTACTGGACCTGTTATCGTAGGTGTTCGACCTACTCTTCCCGTTCCAGGCATTTCTTTGCTGCTAGGCAACGATTTAGCTGGTGGAAAAGTTGTACCAGATCCTATAGTTTGTGAGAAAATCACTCCAGATGTTATGTGCGATGATGAAGATGATGACATTTATCCAGCCTGTGCTGTTACTAGAGCAATGGCCAGAAGACGAGAAATGGAGGCAGACCATACTCAAGCCGTTGACGAGACGAATTCCTCTGTTGATATTGATTTGAATGACACTTTCTTATCTGACCTTGATGGCACTCAAACCAACAAGGAACCACACAACATCAAGAAGCAAGAGAAGAAAGAACTGTTACCAAAATTTGGTGGTGAGGATGATGAGTTGCATCCACTAGTTAGCCAAGGCAAGGACATCCTCAGCCGAGAACATTTACTCTCTGAACAACATAAAGACCCAGATATCATTCAACTTAGTAAGAGGGCACTTCCACCAGAAGAGGCTACTAAAATTGGAGAATGCTTCTATATGAAAGATGGCATCCTTATGCGAAAATGGCGACCACCTGACGCTTCCCCAGATGAAGTGTGGCGTGTTGTTCACCAGATAGTGGTCCCAGCTGCTTATCGTCGAGATGTCATGAGTTTAGCTCACGATACACCTATGGCTGGTCATTTAGGTATCAATAAGACTTATAATAGGATTTTGAGTCATTTTTATTGGCCTAAGCTAAGAAAGGACGTTTCTGAGTTTTGTAAGTCATGTCATGTCTGTCAGATGGTAGGTAAACCAAATCAGAAGATATCATCTGCTCCTCTCCAACCCATTCCAGCTTTTGAAGAACCGTTTAGTCGAGTGTTGGTGGATTGTGTAGGACCTTTGCCTAGGACTAGGTCAGGAAACCAGTATTTACTAACCATTATGTGTACATCCACTCGATTTCCTGAAGCCATACCTATAAGGAATATAAAGGCAAAGAGCATAGTTAAGGCCCTTACCAAGTTTTTCAGTTTTGTAGGAGCACCCAAGGCAATTCAGTCGGATCAAGGCTCAAATTTTATGTCGGGGTTGTTCCAGCAAGTCATGCATGAGTTGGGTATAAGGCAATATAGATCAACTGCTTATCATCCTGAGTCCCAGGGAGCGCTAGGAAGTTTTCATCAAACCCTAAAAACAATGCTGAAGACCTATTGTTACCAGTATGAAAAAGACTGGGATGAAGGGGTTCATCTTGTACTATTTGCTGCACGAGAGGCAGTCCAGGAGTCTCTTGGGTTTAGTCCTTTTGAATTGGTGTTTGGTCATACAGTTAGAGGTCCTTTAAAATTGTTGAAGGAAAAGTGGCTGACTGAGACTAGTGATCTTAATCTTTTAGATTATGTGTCTGATTTCAAAGAAAAACTTTACAATGCTTGTAAATTAGCACAAGAAAATTTGAAGAGTTCTCAGATGAAAATGAAAATGTGGTATGACAAAGATGCCAGAAATAGGGTGTTTAAGCCAGGTGATAAGGTTCTTGTATTTTTACCTATTCCTGGTCATCCTTTACAGGCCAGATTTAATGGCCCTTATGAAATTGAAAGCAAGATCAGTGATGTAAACTATGGAGTTAAGACCCCAGGTCGACGTAAAGAGAAACGGATTTGTCACATTAACATGTTAAAAGAGTATTTTGAAAGGTGTGACCGAAATTCTGTAAAACCAGTTTCCACTTTAGCCAACGCTAAGACTGTTCAACATTGTATTGAAAGTGATACGAGTGTAGAAATGAATGAGAAAGATTGTAATCAGAGTGTCCGCTTGAAAAACTCAGAAATTTTGGCTGATTTTGATGCCAAACTTGGACATTTGAACATTCACCAAAAAGAACAAGTTAAAAACTTGATGAATGAGTATCATCAAATCTTCTCGGATGTTCCAAAGAAAACTAATGCAGCTTGTCATGATGTCATAGTTGGCGACGCTCTGCCTATCAAACAACATCCGTACCGTCTCAATCCAATAAAATTGCAGTACCTAAGAAGGGAAGTGCAGTACATGTTGGACAATGACATTGCTGAACCTAGTAAAAGTAATTGGAGCTCACCATGTATTCTTGTACCAAAACAGGACGGTACCTACCGATTATGTACAGACTTTAGAAAGGTGAATTCTGTTACCAAAACTGATTCATATCCAATACCTAGAATCGATGACTGTATTGACAATATTGGAAATGCGAAATTTGTCAGTAAATTTGACCTGTTGAAAGGCTACTGGCAAGTGCCGTTAACAGAAAGAGCAAAAGAAATATCTGCCTTTGCTACACCAGATGGACTTTACCAGTATAAAGTAATGCCTTTTGGCATGAAAAACGCACCAGCTACATTCCAAAGGATGATTCACTCCCTTCTTCAAGACCTTGAGGGATGTGAGGCCTACATTGATGATGTCATCATATACAGCGACACATGGGACCAACATCTCCGAATCATGCGTGCTTTGTTTGACATTTTAGCTAAAGCAAACTTAACTATGAACCTTGAGAAGAGCGAATTTTGTCATGCCTATGTAGAGTATTTAGGTCATAAAGTAGGTCAAGGTTATGTTACACCCATTATGGCTAAAGTGGAAGCTATTGCAAAGTTCCCGATTCCTACAAACAAGAAAGAATTAATGAGGTTTTTGGGCATGGCTGGGTTTTACAGAAAATTTTGTCCAAATTTTTCCTCAGTTGTAAGTCCACTTACAAATCTTTTACAAAAGAGGGTTAATTTTGAATGGACAAAGGACTGTGAAAAATCCTTTCATAAAATCAAATCTGTCCTTATGAGCAATCCAGTTCTGTCAACTCCAGATTTTTCTAAGCAATTTAAGCTTACTGTTGACGCTAGTGATGTTGGAATCGGGGCAGCTTTGTTTCAAGAACATAGTGATAAGGTAGATAGAGTTGTTTCTTATTTTTCAAAGAAACTTACAAAATGTCAACAAAAGTATTCCACCATTGAAAAGGAATGCCTTGCTTTGTTGTTAGCCTTACAGCATTTTGATGTTTATCTGAATGTTACTTTGCATTCAATTCTTGTATATACAGATCACAACCCCCTGACATTTTTGCATAAATTGTCAAACAAGAATCAAAGACTGACTAGATGGAGTTTGTTGTTACAAGAATACAACATAACAATTAAGCATATCAAAGGCAAAGACAATGTTATTGCAGATGCCTTGTCTAGAGTATCGTGAACATACATGATTTTGTATTAATGTACATATATTTCATTTTGACAATATAAGTTTTCATTGACATTCAAACTTTTTAAGGGGGGAGGTGTTGTGAGGTGTGAATTGTTTCATCATGTATATTATTAGTAACATTAAGTTTCTTGAACATTCCAGAGTGGTCAATATGTTTAGTCATTTTTTCTAGAACATTCTTGAACTTTATTCATGTCCAGAACTTTCCAGTAATATCATGTTTTAACATTTTCTAGAATATTCTAGATTTATAATACTGTATAAATACCCTGTCAATTCAATGCATATATATAATTGTGGATACTTTGTCGTATAAGCACTATTGAGATATAACTGGGATATATTTTCACTGGGACATTGTGTGCAGCAACGGACACTCTGATGTATGTATTTTTAGATTCTTGCTAAGTTTGTACTTTATGTTTCATATACTTATGATATATTACTGTAAATAAATTATTGTTAAGTTTAAACTGTGTGATTGATCTTTGCTGGCATTTAGGGTTATTCTGACCCATAACAGAATTGGGGGCTCTTAGCAAGAATCTAAAAATACATACATCAGAGTGTCCGTTGCTGCACACAATGTCCCAGTGAAAATATATCCCAGTTATATCTCAATAGTGCTTATACGACAAAGTATCCACAATTATATATATGCATTGAATTGACAGGGTATTTATACAGTATTATAAATCTAGAATATTCTAGAAAATGTTAAAACATGATATTACTGGAAAGTTCTGGACATGAATAAAGTTTAAGAATGTTCTAGAAAAAATGACTAAACATATTGACCACTCTGGAATGTTCAAAACTTAATGTTACTAATAATATACATGATGAAACAATTCACACCTCACAACAATACCTTAAAAGTATGCTCGCTTAATTAAACAAGAATATATCAAAGTGAAGAACTTTTTATGTGAATGAACTTTCTCACTGAGATATTAAAATTGTAACTTTAAGTTTGATAATATTTGAATCATGAATGAAATCGTTTCTGATAATAACAGGATTCAATCTAATGCAGATCTTTATGAAACATCCTGGAAAAATGTTCGATTAAGCTATAAATACGAGTACATCAAATACTTTGGAGACTACACAGTCCTTGTAGCATAGGATCAATTGCAACGGTTTTTTTTGGTGATGTTTTCAGAAACATTTCTCACGCAGTTGAGTATGATAAATGTTAATTCTGCTCACATTATTTCACATATTTGAAAGAAAGTGATCTTTACAAACTTAATTGTATTGCTGCCCTCCATTCTCTTACTCACACGAGCATTTAAAGGTACCTAAGCACAAATTTGAAGATAGTATTTCCTAACAGTTTCTGCATAATTTCATGACTTAGATGTTGCCAAGTATTCATACGAAAATAATAAAAATCTTATTTTATCTGGAAGTTACTGAAACTTCGAATTTCTGGACGAATTTGATAGATAAATCCTTTTGCATTTTCACAAATATGACTTTATCATTATAACTGTAGAAAAGTAGCAATTTTGTTATGTACTAATGAAAAACATTTAACGATATTCCAGAAATTTCAGAGTAGAAATGTGGAAAGCAAAACCCTCTCACCAGTATTGTCAGTCCGTGCTCAGTGGTTTGTTCCGAATAAACAATTGAACACAACTAGTGAAACGAGCTCATGCTCTGTTTAATAAAAACAGTTTATGTTTCACGGATGTATTCAATTTGTCAAACTCACAACTAAACAACAATGAAACACCGAACACGGACTGACAATACTTAAGAGAGTGGATTTTGCTTTCGCACATTTTTACCCGGAATTATCTTAACTGCTACTTTTCTGAAGCATTAAGATAAAGTATTTCAAACTTTTGTAACGAATATTCATGATTTATTTCAGCATTTGCCAATTCCAGTACTGATGTAAACACAGTGGAATATACAACCACAGGTTAATGAAATCTTTTCCAATGAAATGTACTATATACCCGGTATATCGTTTAGATAATTCACTCTTACAGGGTCGTCAACCTTTCAGAATTACTTTTTAAGATTTTAATTCGTTGACATGTATTAATAATTCCAAAATGAGAAATCAACCACTAAATGAAAATATATTCTTGAAATTATAACGTAATAATAAATGCTGAATATACAAGATTTTCGGTATACTATTATTTTTACTTTAAAAAGATGTACCCTTCGGTATTTTTAAAGATGTGAAATGGATAAGATATAACCTTCGAACATTTCCAAAATAATGAAAACTTTGGAAACTACCACCCAAGGTCAGCGAACTTTTGAATGTTTTGAAAAAACTTTCATTTCCAATTTCAGTTGTGTTTTTAAAAGTAAGGTACTACAGTATTCTTTGTCCTTTCTTAAATATTTGTTATATAAGCTGTAATGATGATGAACTTTTTCTAATGCTTAATAAAAGATCACTTAATTTTAAGATCTACTATCTTTACAGTAACATTTACAATGAAATTTAATATTCTTTTAAGAAGCACAAACATTTTTTAAAGGAAATTCAAAGAAATTCTTAAAGTACCCCATGTTTCCAAAGAATCCAACTTGAGCAAAGAACAATTTCATTTAAAAAATGAATATTTAAAAATGATTATAATTTGAAAACAAAATCGCAAGAGAATGAATCCATCTTTAAGTATACGACACAAACGAAATATAATATCTTGCACACCTTCTGAAGTTCTATATCTGTCTCTTGAAATCCACGAACATTTAAACTAAATTGTAAGTTTTACCGGTAAACGTAGTGCCACGAGTAAAGGAAATAAAATTTAACAATCATTAACATATAATCCTGCTTGTAGTCTTATTTTGCTCCTTTCAGATGAAACTGATGGAGAGACAACGCCAATTCTTGAAACAGGTGAGTTAGGTCGTCAGCAGAGAAAACCCTTATTGATGTTGCAAGCAAATTGAATTACGGTTGCGAGGTGTGGGAGGGACACAATACTAGTGATACTGAACAAGTGCATGGACTTAACTAAATATGATTTAGGTGTTATAAAGAGCACAAATATTGTCATGGTTTATTAGTAGTTGACTTCCAATGCTGATTGGAAGTATAATTTACTATAGCAAATTCTAAATTCACCACTATATAAAAACAGGTACCATTGTACTTTTTAAGTTGATTTAAAATTAAAATTCTGAGAAAATTACCTAGTTAACCCTTTTAATACCTTATTTCTAATCATATTTATGTTTTCTTTGAAATGTCATCTGGTCAATCTAACGAAGTCCAATCAATCTCTACGACCGTTAACTCAAATTTATTTTTAAAATATATAAATTTTTTTCTTTAAAAAAACCTCTCAGAATAACTTTTTTTCAGATTTCAATTCGTTGACATGGAGTATAAACTCCATAATGAAAAATTAAACATTAGCTTGAAAATTCAATTTTAAAATTATAACATAATAAATGCTCAATATATACCGGGGTTTGATTTTCAACATATTAATGTTCTTCATAAAAAGTACCTTTTGTTATTTTTCCATAAGTAAAACGGATAAGATAATCGTTCATAAATTCAAAACTTACCTTTGGACGTTTTTAGCTCACCTGAGCCGAAGGCTCAAGTGAGCTTTTCTGATCACAATTTGTCCGTTGTCTGTCGTCGTTGTCGTCGTAAACTTTTCACATTTTCGACTTCTTTTCAAGAACCGCTGGGCCAATTTCAACCAAACTTGCCACAAAGCATCCTTCGGTGGAGGGATTTCAAGATTGTTCAAATGAAGGACCACGCCCTCATTCAAGGGGAGATAATTGGGAATTAATGAAAATTTGGTGGTATGTTTTAAAAATCTTCTCAAGAACCTCTGTGCTATGAGAGATGAAACTTATGGAGAAACATTCTCAGGTAGTTTAAATTTAAGTTTTGTCAAATCATGACCCCCGGATGTAGGGCGGGGCCACAATGGCCGACCAAAGCCAAAGGTGGAAAGACCTAATAAGGAAAAGAAGAAACAGAAGGAAATCAATAGGTCTTTCCACAGAAAGGTGGAAAGACCTAATCAGGCTGAAATTGTTTGCATCGAAATGGCTTCTTTATTGCGATGGTAATTTAGCGGTAAACATCAGAAGACCGAAAGTTAATTTGATGGTGGCCACGCGTGTCAAACTAGGTGAAAGAGATATACACAGGGACTAGTAGCTAAATGTCAATCAATTTCAAGTACCCAATGATGAACCTTAATTTATTTGATTGACAGGGGGATACAGACCAGGTAAATCCGAGGGCAGTGCTTATTATCTCGGGCTTTAAAAATTCGTCCCTCATTCAACAATTACTAAGTATACAAATTTAATTCACTGAATATTTTTTTTTTCTATTCAGCAATATTTTTTTACATTTTTATAAAAGTTTAATAAAAAAAATATATTATTCAAAATGCATGTACAAATATTCAGTTTAAACATGGAGTACAATATATTTTTTTTTGGTAAAATTCTTTTTACTTGTGTATAAAAGTATATAATCAAAATCACCAAATTTGACATCGTGACATTTACCTTGGAGTATGACACACTTTTACCAAAAATTTCCGAACTTTAGCCATCTCCATAACTTTTGAATAGTTGGTGCGAGGGCTTTCATACTTCATATGTGTATTAATTGCGACAAGGCCTTTAATTGGGTGTAAAAATATTTGACCTTGACTTTACAGTATGGCCCACTTTCAACAAACTTTAATATTGACCATAACTTTTGAACCGTTAGTGCTAGGGCTTTGATCTTTGATCAAGATTTTCAAAAAAAAATTCTTAGTGATCGAAAAAAAAAGTTTATATCTTCGGTCATTAAAATTAACCAAACTTACTCTTGCCAATCATTTATAGGATTACATTCTATTCAGATCGAAACATCGATAACCCACTAGGATTTCTCTGTTAAAAAAATCAACAAACTAAATACACTGAAGTCAATATGTCGAAAGTTTTTGCTGATAAATAAACTGATATTCAAATTAAGATAAATGATAAATGAAGGCCATTGGATAACGAATCGAGTAAAGATTTGATAAACACGAGACAGAGGTACTGCACTTAACCATTAACGTTACTGAATCTGGATATGGAAGTGAATATATGATTTTAAAAATATGGCGTTTTACTGCTTTTGGAATATTCTACTATTATGGAGGTTGCTTTCAATTCCGCAATATGAAGGTAATTTTAGGTCATTGGAACGTTGATCCTTTTATAAATTCCAAAGTCTCTAAAAAAAATAATACACGCATTTTCAAGAGTCCATTTCCCCTCCAAAGTCTCTAATTTCGTAATTTAATAAGAAACTTTCTAAAATGATATTTAATAAGCGTGCAGTTTATAATCTTATAGTTTTATAACCGATTGTAAAGGATTTTTTTTTTAAATTATGGAATGTAATAAGAGATGAAAAGTAATGCTTCTTGCAGAAAGATATTCTGGGCACAAAAGGGGAACTCAGGAAAAGTTTCTATTTCAGTTCGTTGAAATGGAGTATTAATTCCATGATGAAAAATTAAATAAAATTATTTTACATGAAAACATATTCTTGAAATTATGATCTTGAATAACAAATAATAAATAAGATATTCAACTTTTTTTTTTTTGATATACTTTAAAAAAAAAAGTTAATTATACTTTCCGGCATTTTTAAGTAAGTGTTTTTATTTGATTGAAATAGAGAAATAAACGTGCAAGAACGTATTCAACATTTCATTTATTGTTATTTCAGCATTTGCCAATTCCAGTAATGATGTGAAAACTTTGGAATATACCACCCAAGGTCAGTGTTTTGGACATTTTTAAATTTTGTACAAATTTTCAATTCCTTTTGGTTTTTTCTTTCTGATAGACATTAACAAAAGCCTTCCCCTCTCTTAAACATTTTGTCGATAAGCTTGTATATCTATATCTACAATGAGGATGAACTTACGTATATAATCTCTCATTATAATACTGTAAAATCCCTGTACCCCAACAACAGGGTTCAGATGGATACTGTCTTTCATCATTACTCTTTCTCTCTAACTTTGTTTGTCCAATTATCAACTGATCATACCTTAAAAGTATGCTCGCTTAATTAAACAAGAATATATCAAAGTGAAGAACTTTTTATGAGAATGAACTTTCTCACTGAGAAATTAAAATTGTAACTTTAAGTTTGATAATATTTGAATCATGAATGAAATCGTTTCTGATAATAACAGGATTCAATCTAATGTAGATCTTTATGAAACATTCTGGAAAATTGTTCGATTAAGCTATAAATACGAGTACATCAAATACTTTGGAGACTACACAGTCCTTGTAGCATAGAATCAATTGCAGCGGTTTTTTGTGATGTTTTCAGAAAGATTTCTCACGTAGTTGAGTATGATAAATGTTAATTCTGCTCACATAATTTCACATATTTGAAAGAAAGTGATCTTTACAAACTTAATTGCATTGCTGCCCTCCATTCTGTTACTCACACGAGCATTTAAAGGTACCTAAACACAAATGTGAAGATAGTATTTCCTAACAGTTTCTGCATAATTTCATGACTTATATGTTGCCAAGTATTCATACGAAAATAATAAAAATCTTATTTTATCTGGAAGTTACTGAAACTTCGAATTTCTGGACGAATTTGATAGATAAATCCTTTTGCATTTTCACAAATATGACTTTATCATTTAAACTGTAGAAAAGTAGCAATTTTGTTATGTACTAATGAAAAACATTTAACGATATTCCAGAAATTTCAGAGTAGAAATGTGGAAAGCAAAACCCTCTCACCAGTATTGTCAGTCCGTGCTCAGTGGTTTGTTCCGAATAAACAATTGAACACAACTAGTGAAACGAGCTCATGCTCTGTTTAATAAAAACAGTTTATGTTTCACGGATGTATTCAATTTGTCAAACTCACAACTAAACAACAATGAAACACCGAACAC